ATATTTATAGGTGAGTTCAGATTTCAGTTCAATCTACATGTAATTTAGGTTGTGGCTGCCTCTGCCTGTGCACAAACAAAAATGATGTGAGAGAATCAGGCTTGAAAGCATGTACGCGTGTTGCAGAGCAGTATGCCACTTTCTCTGGACAGGCGTAAATTGCTGCCTTGGTCTCCTTCAAACCTTTAGCCTTCCACCAGCCTTCCAGGGCTTGTGATCTGGCTGGCTCAGACTTCCTCAGCCTCATTTCCTGGCTACATGAAGCTGCATCTCCTACATATCAGGTATGCACCTCTCTTCCCCTTGCCCTGCCGCCAACTTTTTTTACAATACCTTTCCCTGCCTTTGGCTTCCTATAAATGTACGCCTAGGTTTTATCCCACCAGAAACTATCCAGTTTAACATACCCTGTTATGCTTTCTTCATCTAAGAATTTACAAAACACATCTGAATATCCTTTTCACTGTGAGGACTTTATTTTATAGATGGATACTCAAGATCTCATATTTAGCAATTTCTAATCATCCCTATCCCAAGTTGACTTTACTATGTCAATTTCATAACCATATCTTTTTTTTTTTTTTTTTTTTTGAGTAGGAGTCTCACTCTGTCACCCAGGCTGGAGTGCAGTGGCATGCTCATGGTCACTGCAGCCTCGACCTGCTGGGCTCAGGTGATCCTTTCATCTCAGCCTTCCACGTGCCTATTTACATAAATGACATGTGACCATGCTTTCTATTGTGATCATCTCTACGTTACGTGATAATTTCTGCTTATTTTCTCTATACCTAATAGATGGGACAGATGTGGAAGATGTAAAATCTAAATTTCCTTTCAGAATATCAATTTCTGTAGCACAGTAATAGGATTGGTAAGAAGCTTTAGAAATGTTAATTGGTTCATTCTTTAGGCTTAAAGAGCCCTACACAAAATTTGATCTTTTGTGTCTATTTGTAGCAAGAAAGAGTTTAATTAAGCACTTTATATTCATTATTTTCAGGAAACAAATGGATGAGGGGGTCGTGGATGGTGGGAGGGAAGTACTAAGTTTCTACTATTTTAATTCCTGGGAGGCTTATGGAATTTAGAGAAACTGAGAACTAGAATATAGAGTTTGTTGCTCTCAGACTAATGACTAGTGTTACAGGTCAGTCAGCTTTTCCAGCCTCCACTGTTCAAATGTTTCTCTCCTATCAGCCCCCTCTAATTAACTATTACCCTCCGAGTAAAGTTAGATACGGGCCCTCTGATAGTATCTAACTCAGTTTTCCCAGTTTTTGGATGAGGAAACTGTAGCTCGACGAGGGCAGGGCTTACACTGTTGGGAGGCATATACTACTTAAGTTCTAGAAAAATCGCAGTGACCTCTTTAGTCTCCTTCAACTCCATGTTGAGAGGCAGCTCTTTGGGGGCCACTGACATGAACTGCAACCATGGTGGTGGGAGAATGAGGAGGCAGGGCCATTTGTCACACAAATAGAAAGGCATGCGCCCACCCTCTCAGGCTCTCACCTCAAACTGGTTTCCTAGTGCAGCTGCTGGCTCACCTTGTCAGGGTCTCTGTATAATGTGGGCGGACCATGTCAGACAAGAGTCAGAGTCATGCTTCAATCAAATCTTAAGTCACAAGCCCCCACTGAAGAATCAAGTCCGCTAGTCAACACTGACCCCAACTTTGCTCAGATTCGTCTATATTTTCCTTGATTTGAACCAATGAAACCTTGTTTTCATGTGTTCATTCCTGTTTAATGGAGAATTCCTGGAGGTCATTTTATTGGGTATAGTGAGGAGACAGAGGAATGTGAGTGGAGGGTGTTGGGAAGATTGGGTGAGAATTTCAGACAAGGTTTTATTTGAAGAAACGATTAAGTCCCTCATTTTCCTCCCTCCCCTCACAAGGAGAATGACCTGATTTTAGTGACTCTATCCCTGGATTTGGGGTCAGTGGCCTCAGGCTGCATATCCCTTTCTCTATGCATGATAAGTGGTGTATAAGGTGAGGATGCCTGAGGGTACAGAAAAGGCACTTAGAAGTAACTTTATTTGACTGCTAATAGGAACTGAAGAAGTGTTAGTATCCATTCTAGGACTACTGAATAAATAGAAACCCTCCATGCCTTTGCCTTCCACATAGAAGAAAAATGCAAAAAGAACACTAAGGATTAAGCCATATGTAAATGATATTTTAAAATATGACAGCTCTAAGCTGTTGGGGGAAGGGAGTGTTAGGATTGGAAGAAAGCAATGAAGTTACATAGGCCTTGACCAAATCATGAAAGGAATTTAAGCTGAGTGAATACATAAGTAAGGAAGATCCAGAGGGCTTTAAAGAGAATGACAGTCCTTTACTTTAGGAAGGAGAGATGGAAGATGTGGGGTGGGTGTGGGGAGAGGGACCCTGGTTAGGAAACTTTCCCAGTGCTCCTGGGATGTGATGAGGCTCTGAGCCTCTAATTTCTTACCTACTGTATCGTGGGACATTCTGTATGTTGGCAGAATAGAATGTGCCCCACCAGCTAGTCACACATCAAATTGCTTATTTTTGATTCTGAAAAAATTCTGCCAAGCAGATTAAATTTGTTCCAAACTGTATTCTCTTCTAAAGAAGCTGTGAGCCTGACAAAATGTTGGTGACAAGATTTACTCAGCCTTCTTCAATTGTACCATTATCTACTTCTTGTCCTTACCACCCTGTTCAAGAATGAAGCAGAAGCAAAACACACTGGTTGCAAGACTGCTCACCAACCTCTTTTCACTCATTTTTCTAGTGGAAACTTAGAGTTTGTTGTCCCTTTTGCCTGAAATGCTCCCTTCTCCCTTCTTTTGGTTCTTAAATCAAGTATCACGCCCTTCCCGGCCACCTTTCCTAAAATATCACCCTGATTCTGGTGTATTCTTTTTCGTTTTATTTGTGCACTATCACAGAGAGTATGTACGTTCCAGAAGGCACGGCCTGGCATGGTGTTGTTTTTCACAGTGTCCACAAATGTGCTGGCAAAATGTCAGGGACCCAAAAACTTACTGGGTGAATGATCTGGACCATGACGAGGAGGATGGTTGCCAAAACACCCAGCCAGCACCTCCAGCCGCCTCCGCGGTGGATAACCGGCTGTGTGCTAAAACCACACCGCCCTCCTTAGTGAGGGTGTGTGTCTAGATGAGAGCCAGATTGGTCAACGAGTAGAGCAGTATCTGTTCTACTCTCCCAGATCCTTCTGTTCTCTTGGCATCACTAGAGCAATCTCGAGGAAGACTTTATCCATTAAATAGGGGCACATACTTCAGAGGGTGATTGGGAGGATTAAAAATGAGTTTTGATGACATCAGAGGTGGGAAGGGCTTGAGGGAAGGCATTGCAAGAAATCATTGCTGTGTGTTCACTGCAATGCAGTTGCTGAACTGGTCAGTGGTAAGTCAAAGTTTTCATCCACAGCAGCAAATCCTGACACCTGTGCCTGTGCTGTGGCAGAGAAAGAAGCTCAGGCCAAAAATGGATTCCCAGCCTGATGCAGGAGTTTCTTTCAATGCCATTGCTCTGTTGCCCAGACTGGAGTGCAGTGGTGCAATTATAGTTCACCACAGCCTCGGACTTCTGGGCTCAAGTGACCCTTCGGCTTCAGCCTCCCAAACAACTGGGACTAGAGGTGCATGCCACTATGCCCGGCTGATTTTTTTTTTCCCTAGAGATGGGTTCTCACTATGTTGCCAAGGCTGATCTTGAACTCCCGATCTCAAGTGATCCTCCCACCGCAGCCTCCCAGAGCACTGGAATTATAGGCTGCCTTGAACATTTTTATAGCAAAAAAGAACTTTGTATTTTGGCTTTATTTCTCTTGATAGGATAATTATATAGTTTAACTCTCAGCAACCAAGTCTTAATCCTCAGGAGGTGTTTTGCTTATAAGGCGGTGGAGAATCATTGGACAAGACATACAAAATACCACATTTGTTTCTTTTTGCCAAGGCTTCCCTAGAAATAGTTGAAATTATGATGCAGCCTAGATTCAGTATTTACCAGAATCCCATTATCTGCATGTTGTCTGCTAGGTGCTGACTTTTTGGGCCCCTAATGCTGCCTCTTCCAAGGTGTTAATTGAAAACAGCAGCATTGCCTTTCCTCCAACTTGGCTCCGTTGCCTAGAGCAAGTCCCCAAACTCATCTAGGTGGCAGAAACTCCAAGGTTTGAATGTGAGCTGCCAGTTGGGATCAAATTTGAGAGAGGCATAGTCCCAGCAAAAGCCTGGTGACTCCAAGGCTGTTTCATGAGCCAGCTGCGTTGGCATCCCCTGGGAGTCGAGTAGGAAATCATTTTCAGGGCCTCCTTCCAGACCCACTGAATCAGAATCTGCATTTGGAAAAGATTCCAAAGTGATAAGGCCTACACATTAAAGTTTGGCTTCAAAAAGAGAGAAACAGGTGATTCTAGTATGGAATGGCAGGGGAAGTGAATCTCTATCATCCATTCCATGGCTAACAAGCACCGCGTGCAGTTTAGTTTGTTCCATTCTTTATTGACTCTCTGTTATCAGTGCTTGCTGAACTGAATGTTCCTACCTCTAAGCGGCAGGTTTTAAAGATGAGATTCAGTTCAGTGAAAGGCACCCTTAAGTCATCCACTTGGAGCTAAAGCCAGCCCTGCTGGAGACTCAGGCCCCCTCATAGAACAGACAGCTGCCTTCCTGTGATTCTAAGCACCATGCTGCAAGAAGAAAAGATTTCAAGTCTCATCTCAGATAGAAACTGGTGTTTCTAGTTTTTTCAACAATAGATTCGACTTTGCACAGAAAACAGCATGAACCTGAAAACAAAGCAACCAGAGATTTTAGTGGGGCCTGTTGGCTTCTTTTAGTAATCTTATGCTAAGAGGTGCAAAGATCCAAGAGCTAGATTTCAGACACAGTGCCCAGGCAGCCAGGAAATTGGTAGTAATGAATGCTTAGACTCCCAAAGGTTGTACGGAAGACAAAAGAGCTTTTGTGTGTATAGCGAAATTGTTATTATTAACTTTTATTTATAAATAAAAGTATATACGTACTTTAACCTAATATAATTAACAAGCTCCATCTTGTACAAAATATTATGGTCCTCTGTGTCCAGGATAAGGTATCCAATAAATGGGATAGTATAGAGTTAGGTCCTTCATTCTGCTTCTGGAAGAGACTCTTGAATGACCTCAACTTTCACACCAAAAATAAGTGAGCAAAAAAGGTAAATCCTATTTATGCAGGAAGACTTACAGATAGGAGTTAATCTGGTTATTTTATTCCATAAAAGTCACTAAAGCTTTTGGCATTTAGATGGCTCCAAGTTTATTTTAAAAACCTCATTCAAATGTAACCAGAAACATACTGGCCTCTTGAGTGCTTCCATGAAGAGGAGTTATGTATACACAGCAGGAAAAAGAGTCAAGCATTACATTGATGCAAGATGAATGTTGTTGTTTCAAGGTGTTAAATTGTTTTTGAGTCTTGTTGATTTAAACTTTTTGCTGTCATTGTCCCTGGTCAACACAATGCCAATGCCACTCTTTCTATATCTTCTTCTGCAAAAACTATAAAAAATCTATCACTCCTTAAGAGAGGAAAACTAAACTCTGTAAGAAGAAACACCCAACCTAACCCGAATAAATATAGTCCAAGGAGTCTAGTTCAACCACAGGAAAGGACGATGACCTCCAAACCTTACACCCTAGAGGCAGATGTCCGGGGTTCCAATCCCAGCCAGGCGGGACTTTGTGGGGCGAGTGCTTTGCCACGCTCAACCGCAGAGGTGGGGATCGCTGACGGGGACGCCGTCTACAGGTCGGAATCGCAGGGCAGCGAGCTGTGGCAGGGCCGGGTGCTGCGCGAGGAGGCGCCCTGGGAGCTGGCCGCCTTTCCCCCCTCCCCGTCCAGGACGTCCACCGGGTTGGTGTAGGCCTTGGGCGGTGGCCGCGGCATGGGGAAGCCGGCTTTGGGCTTGCCGCGCTGGGCGGGCGGCGGCCGGTGCTGGCCCTCGCTGTAGTACTTGATGGCGGGCACGAGCGCGGGCTCGGGCCACTCGACGTGGACGGTGCTGATGCTGCTGCGACGCGGCCCGGAGGGGGACGCCTTGCGGCGGCGGCGACAGCACTCCTCGCACCAGGGCGCGAAGCTGAGCGCCAGCGAGCAGCCGCCCAGCAGCAGCAGGCAGCTGCCCAGGTAGCCCAGCACCAGGCTGTAGCTGACCTGCACCGTGACCCGGTTGCTCGGGAAGGGCAGGACGTCGCGGTCCCCCAGGAAGTGGTTGTACCAGGAGACGGGGATGAGGCTGAAGAGGCCGGCGACGAAGAGCACGACGCCCGAGAGCCCGGCCAGCGCGAAGTGGGGCTCATCCCGCCAGCAGCGCACGCCCAGGGTCGCCAGCAGCAGCCCCAGGGCCGTGACGGCCAGCGACGCGACCATGAGTCCCCGCGCCACGAGCACCGGCTGGGCCGCGAAGTAGCCCCGCTCGTCCGGCTGGCCGCACTCGCGCTCGCGGCTGCTTTGCTCGCGACAGATGTCCCACAGGCCCTGGTAGAGCACCACGTCCACCGGCTGGTCG